TGGCCTGTTTAGTAATAGTCACTACGTCTGTGAATCATTATTAGAGTTGCCAACTGTTGAAGTGTTCAAAAGTGTCCTAAGCCATGAGCCATCCTTTATGGATGTACCCTTACAAAAAAAGTCCTACTTCAAGATGTTCAAGAGTTGGCAAGCCTAATCATTATACATATTATGCATAAATACAAAGTTTCATGTACATACAATTATAATTATTTTCACAAAGTATGTACAATTATGGAAGGTTAACCAAACTTTTGTATTATATTATTTAAGTGGATTATTTTCTAAACATAATCATGAAAAGTACACATTACTTATTTTATTTAGTATCATTTGTATTCCTTTAAAAATAACACATGACTAAACAAAACGTAACATCCAAATATTCATAAATCTTGATGGTTAGATTAGATTTTGGTGCATAAAAGAAAGCAGAAATGTACTTCTGTTTACATCAAAGCTAGACTTTCGTAACTGTTATAAGCTAACAGAAGTATCTTACTAAATTTAACTGTAAAATTTATTTCATTTGACTTAAAATGAAATGTTTCTTTCTCACCAACAATGTATTCTTAATTGCTACCAATCAACACAAGTCAATTATTAAGCTTTAGACACAACATAGTCTTCCTCTATAAAATTAAAGTTTTATGTCATATGATGTCCCAGGGAGTTACTTATTTAGAGAATGATCATAGGTAAAACTTCAATGTTGAGAAAATAGCACAATACAAAATTTTAGGTAGGAAATAAACAGTAAATGAGAGGATGAATTATGAAGCAATCTGGAAGAAATAATAAACTAGAATTCAAAATTGTAGTTTTATATATGTAACATGTAAATAATGAACATTATGAAGTTGTTCAAAAAAGGCTAAACCCAACAGTTAGAAAACATTGCCACTTCTAAACGTTAATAATCCTCTTCACAAACAGTGCATAGAAGTTATATAAGAATACGTCAAAAAAAATTAAAAATATCCATCAGAGACAATTTAAGTAACTGAAAATAACTTTGTACCTTTATGTATAATAACAGAAAAGGAAATCTGTACTTTTATGAACCCTATGAGTAAAAACAAATATGTTTTACACAGATGAAAAACAAAACAAGGATCTTTTTATGACCTAAATGTACAATTTTTTTGGGCTTATTTTGTACTTTAACCATAAATTAAAAAAAACATCAAACTGTAAAAAAACAATGATACAATGTTTAGGGTTTCAGTTTCAACCAGTACATATTACGAGTGCAACATCAACCTCTGGGACCCACTGTATGGAAGTGGATCACATGCAATCTACACCAGCAAAACACAACCACCATACTCTCTACTGAATGGAAGTAATCACATTCAGGAGGTTACCTCCGTGGTCCACCACCCCAGTAGCTTAGAACTGGAAATTGTTAAGGACTCCCATACTCCATTATAAGAACAAGGGAGGATAAAATGCAGTGGAGAGTCTGAAGGAATGCCAACACCAAAGACAGGCGACCCCAAACCCTAAACTGAAAAGCAGACTACCCCCGATTTATTTAATTAAAGGGATGGGCAGCTATCCCCTTCTGCTTTACCCACGTAAGTCCATAGGTGAGTATGATCCGGAACAGGCAAATTAATAAAACAAATATATCACAAGGAAAACCTAGTAGCAATCTTGTAGACCACCCCATCTCAACAGTGTGTGTTATTGGCCATGGGTATACTGTTTTTTATTATTTCATTTTGGCTGTACAGTGCAGATTCGAGATATAGAAAGCATAATTAGACAGGCAACACTTGCCACTGAGCAGGTTCTGAATCCTAAATGAGACATACCCTTGGAGGAGAAAATCTATATTGAAAAGATAACTTACCCAGTCACAGCCACACTGAAGTTTGAAGGTACATCTACAAAGAAGAAGCAGCTACCCAATAAAGACAGTGGGAGATGAACATATGAGAAGTAGGCCACATTCCTGACTGAAGAGTTTCCTCCAATCCTCTCTTCGTTGTGCTGTGCTTGATCAACCATCAATGCAGATAGCCTGTAAGGTAAGGAGGAAGGGTAATTGGGGAGTCCAAGGGATCTTAAGCAAGATTCCATGGGCAGTGCAGAGACCAATGATGGGAACACATATAGACAATCCAAAGGAATAAGGGCTGCCAAAGAAGCCCAAGTCCTCAAAAGTGACAGAACCTTTTGTGCTGAAACCGAGGAAGCAGTAAATACATGGAGAACTGAAAACACTATCAAATGGACAAGAAGTGGAGAAGAATGGCCCAAATGAAGGGGGGTGTTGAAAAATACACTCAAGTGGAAAAGATTATGAGTAGGCAAAAGGAAGCTTCACCAACTTTAGAATCTAACCAACACAAGCTGATATTGTCAGCAGCAGACGTGTGTGTTGAGAAGACTACACTTCAGAAGGAGCTAATAGGAATGAGTCATCCAAGTAATGGGTAAACACACCTCGAGACCATGCAGAAGTTGGGCAGAAGCCATGACCACCCAATAAAATACATACCTGAGAAAGCTTATCCAAAAATGCAGAGTTAGGCCTAGTATATCTCATAGGAGATCCATGTGAAGATACAGCAAAGTTAGGAGGAGAAAAAAAAAAATTGTCAAAATCCTCCTCGTCGTGAACAAGTTTGGACATTGCAGGAAGAACTTGAACACTGTTGGGGGAAAAAGGAAGCCTCATATAATGATCAATCTCCAGACAATTGATAGCCGAAAAATCCTCAATCAAGACTCCCAGACCTGAAGCCAGTAATGGTACTTGAAGTAGTGGTAATAATATCAGGAGTCCTAAAATACAAACTTTGGAATCCATCTTATACCATATAGTTGAAAATGAGTAAAACAAAGGTAAGTTATCATGGCAAACTACTACAGAAAAACTAACTGTAGCAAACGAATAAATCAAGTAAATCATTACTTTGCACAGAAAAAATTAAATGAACACTTGAAAAGAGCACAACTGAAAAACATCTGCACTAAATCACTGCCTAACAAGAAGTGATAGTTCAGTAGAATCGAACAGAGGGAGTCACATGCATCAGGTGTCACACTCCTATTGGTGGAGGGTTGTCGCATAATGATTTACATGTGAGATGCGGTTAAACCACATTGATCATGGGTTCCGTGAGAGATCAAGGCTTGTGGCATGCAAAAAAATGCATATAGAGGACAGCACTGAACAAGAATAGTATACATGCGAGTGGAGGTTATGTACTGTATTGGAAAAAATACCTTTTTTTCTTTTTTTTACTAGAATGACTACAAGTTGTAACAAACAATTATAATTACTTTTTGTTAGATATTGAGGCCTCTTAACTTTTCACAACTGCTTTAATTTAATTTTAATGCTTTTTAACCATGTATAACTACCTGAAAATTAAAGCAGAGTAAACAAATGAATCAGATTATATAAAGCACGCCTAAAATGCTCATGTATTATGTGATGACCAAATAATTTTTTTAAGTTTTCTTATCTAACCTAATAAGTTTTAATTTTTGAATCTTAGTTACCTTTGTTAAAAAAATACATCAGTAAATAAAAAATATGTATTTTAAAAACAAGAAATTTAGAATTTATCTTAGCTCTAGACCGTTTGACTTGAATACTTGCTTTCCTAAGCCTTATTTTTTCTATATTGGTTGTCCAAAAAATAATTCATATAGCTTTCAAATATGCATTTTAAAACATAAACAATAATTCAAACAATAATATAGAATGCTCCAAGTCTATTGTAATTTATCTGGCTCTCTAACTAACCTATAAGTAGGCTTAAAAAATTCATTTGTTTTACTGGAACAGTGCTTCAATATACATACAATAAAATCTGCTATGGGAATGGTGCCTTTTGCCAAGATAAATTAGCATACTGTCATCATAATCACATAGTTTACAAATGACCTTTCTAGTGGTTATAAACATGTACCATTGACACGTAGTAGGCAAAAGTAAATAAGTGATTTCACAAGCATGAAGAGTTGGGAAAAGCTTCTGAGGTGGATGTCACAAATTCATTGATAACTCAGAAAATAAAGGTGATGAAAGGTTCTTGTTTTAAATTATGGCCTTTCAATATATGTAGTTGGTGAATCTACTTGATGGACATTCTGAAACCCATATAAGAGAAAAAAGAAAATCTATAAAATGAAATTCAGAGCAGTGAAGCATCACATGACACAGAAAAAGTAACATTAAGACCTTATTTAAATATTTCTTTTTTGAAATTAAGAAATAAAAACTTACATTATATTATAAAATTTGAATCATGAGTCATGTTTTAATGCCAAGTTTATTTACATACGTTGATAATAAAGTTGTTTTATTAAATCTTGTATGTAAATCTGTAAAAATGTCATGGTGTGCAATTCAATCCCCCTTCTGTACACACAGAGTTAAAGTTATCAAAAACTAAAATAATGGAAAAGTACAGTAATACCAATTAGCATGATTCAATGCACACAAATTTAAGTAGTAATTATTGTTGCTATCATGTTAAGAACAATTCTTTAACTTTCAATAATATTAGATTTAGTTTCTCCTCCATGTCCTCCCAAAGCTCGAAAACCAGATATGCCATACTCTGTTGCAAATAGATAAACATCCAACGTTCTCTCGGTGCAATCTCCAATGAACCTTACAAAAGGTCTAACATCCCCTTCATTAGCCAACTGAAGGTACTGATAGTACAAGTAGCGGTCCTGTTTTCTCACAATAACTGGAGGATAACCTGCTCTCATCAAGATTAAATTCATAAGCAGTCGAGCTGTCCTGCCATTTCCATCCACAAATGGATGAATAAATACAAGTTTGTAATGAGCCAAAGCTGCATACTTTACTGGATGAAGTTTCATAGTGTCATCTGAATTAAGCCAATCAACCAGATCTTCCATAAGATCAAACACTTCAGATGGTGGAGGGGGAACATGTTCACCAACATATACTTGAGATCTTCTGACTGTTCCTGCTTCAACAGGATCTACATGGCCTAAAACTCTCTTATGAATCTCTAATATATCATCAACTGTAAGTGGCCCAAGTTTAGTAACTAATGTGTTATTGATATACCTCAATGCTGATTCCAAGCCAATGATTTCATTATGTTCCATAATACTTTTTCCAGGAACAGCCATTCTAGTTTCTACTACCATACGGGTTTCAGCTAAAGTCATTGTGTTTCCCTCAATGGCAACTGTATGATGAATATGCTGAAAGTATGCTTCTTTCTTCATCCTTTTTAGTGATGAATCATTATCTGGAAGTTGAAAGAGAAGATTTCGTTTTCTATCGATTCTGTCTAGTTGTTTCTGGTCAAGTTTTTCAACCACTGGAAGAGTACGACATCTGTTGACAATAGCTTTGGAATGCTCAGGGGATATGATGAGGGCTCTTGTATACAAATGATTGGCTTTAATGACATCTTTATTCTGCTCCTCAATGAACTCTCCATAGTGCGTAAGGATGTCTGGATGCAGAGGATCCAAAGCCATTGCATGTTGGAACAATTTCAGAGCTTTCTCTGTTTTTTCAGCATTTTTCATGTGAAGAGCCATATTTAGAGATAACAATGCTTCAGGTTCTGTGTGAAAATAAAATATATTAATAAACTTTACAATAATATGTAATGTATAATATAAATGTTCCTCTGGAAACAAGATGTACAGCATTTTGAACAAAAGTTTACCTTATGAACTCGTAACTCATCAAACACTCAAAAGTTATAAAATATACATGTTAATATTGAAATGTGATTTTCATTAAATTATTTTCAAACAAAATGTAGTAACTTTGTAAATTTAGCCAAAATCTTTTATACATCATTAATTTGATCAAAAAAGCCATTCATTATGAAAAACAAAAAAATAAATGAAGGGCTTCATAGAAATATAGCTCCCAGTCTTAATAAACTTCTCACAAAAAAGGACAAAATTTAACACTGAGAAGTATCAGGAATGACACTTGATGAAAAAGAATTTGGGTGGGAAATGTATCAGTTTTACTGAAGAAAAAAGGAAATTGAATGTAGTTATTTATAAAAGCTTTGAAAGTTTAGCTGTGGTTAAAAAGTAATAATTGCCATTTATTTAAGAAGTATCAAAGAGCAGATATTCAATTCAATTTATTTGACATGGTACAATAAAGTCGTGCATATATATAATACTATCATGAATATATATATATATATAAAACTGAACAATGAATGTATACTCAAACACGTTCCTCTCTTTATGTATTTTTTCTTTTCATACTCCATCTTCAAAATATTTCTTTTAATCAGTCAATGGAGGAAGTCCTATTTTTTGTGAAATTCCCTCACAGAAAGAAACATTTTTGTTCTTACGACATTTTTCTCACACTGGCCATTCAACTCGTATGTAGATTGATGTAGATATGAATATAAAATTTTAAGAACTGTAAAAACATGAATAATTTTCCTGTAATGTAGTCTTGAAATAAAGCATTTTGATTTATAATTTTTTGTACAATTAACTGTTCAGGAGATACAGAGCATGACAGAAAGACAAGCATTTGGCTATTATATATATACATAAATAAAAGCCCACATTTCATGTTGTTGTTGTTTTCTAGTAGGAGAGGCTTATGAATAATTTCAATGAGCTTTTCATCATCTTATTGATTTTGTTTTTTCAATTTCTATAGTAAAAGTACATAATACAAGCATATAAAAAACTGTAAGTACTTTCCATGTTTCTGTATCTGAAGTGCATAGCTCTTTTTAATACTGAAACACTTAATCATTCTTTAAGTCTATCAAGATCATTTTAAATCAAAAACAACCAGTGATTTACATAATATGTTGGTATCAAAATATTTTATACAAATCATGAACAAAATAACTATTAAACTCTATTAATCAAATTCCTCCAATCAGAACACTACTGATAGTTTATAATATGAACAGTTTATCTTTGCATTATTTCTAAGTTTTAATGGGCAAGCTTTTGTTTTTATGAGGCTTATATAAGAGTATATTTTTTGGTTTTTACTCACAGAAATCTACCATATCATGAACCACTACAGTGGTTCATAATAGAGATTGCAAGGAATTGCAAAAAACTAATAGAATGTTTGGGCAACTTAAACACTAAAGAATCAATTTAAACAACACTTTAAAACCCTTACTACTGACTGCTAAGGCTGTACACATATAAAAATGAACAAAAAAGTATGCATGTTATACTTACAAAGAAATAAAATCCCTTTAAAATGGCCCACTTGTAATTATTTTCTTGCTAGCCTAGCCTGCAACAAAAACAGCTTGGTGTTTTACACCCAAATCTTTTGTAGAATACTAAATAAGGTACTGTGAAGACTGTAGATGTATTGAAAAGTCAAAATTGTTTCTTCTATGTTTTACATAAGCTAAAAAACATCATAATTCTCGTGTAAATGATGTTGTCATTAGTAATTGAAGTTAGCTTTCTTATAAATATCTGGTGTTTCTTTAAAAAGCTTTAGTGTCATGTGTAAAGCAACTGGAATTTTAGAAGAGGAAGTTAGCATTCCCAAAACTACTTTAGGAGCAAGAAGTACAACAAACCAAACCCTGCATTATGGGGTCATGCTGTTGCCTCAACGCAACCGTACGAACAGGCAATACCTGTAACTGGTATTAAAAGCAGAAATTGTTACTCATTCAACCATAAATGCAGGGAAGACATATCCTGTACCCAGAATTATGAGGAGGATGTGGAATATTTGTTCAACCATATGAGCAGTGTCCATATGTTCTGTTGCCAGTATTATGAGGCAGGTAAAATCCCCCAAACTAAACTGTAGGAGCAAAAAAGGAAAACCTCCTTTTACCAGAAATAATGAGAAGAAGGGCCTCTACAGCACTCATCTGTAAGAACTGGGTGGTGTCATCCTGAACCGGTATTACAAGGAGGATCCCACATAGGCTGGTCCTGCTCTGACAATCGGTCCACCTGGGAATAAGCATCCAGGGGAAAGGGAAGGAGAGAATCCAGCTTTGCCTTCTTATCCACTAATCACCCAGCTCTAGTTAAAATGGTAACAGAAAACCATCATCCTTGTATACTAGATAGAATATGTAAAGGTAGCTGGAACAAATGGTGTGCTTTGGACATGATAGCCTTATGATGGAGCCCTTTGCAATAAAAACTACTGTATGGCCACTGTCAAGATGCAAGGTTATCAAATAGAGCATGTGTGGAGAGATGGATTGTAACAACATGGTGAAGTTCCAAAATTGTTTAAATATAGCAGACTCAACCCTCTGTTGATAAAGCACCAAGAGCATTAAATGTTTTCCCCAGAACTTCAAAAAAAAAGGTCAAAGATTAGATATGAAAGCCTCTTGCCTCTCTCATTTCTGGTGTGTCTGTAGATAACTAGCAGGTGCCTGATGACTAGATATTTGTTAATTTACTCTTATTATTAAGTATGGTAATAAGAGTTGTCCTGTAAATTATATACCAGTTAGTCAAACTTCGGTACTATTATAGTGTGCAGTCTACAAAGATATTTACACTACAGCTTGCAGTCTACACAGATACTATCATCATCACCATTTTAACTTTTGTTTATTTGTAATTGGTGACAGTTATTATAAATAATGCTTTTAAACTAATAAAATACAAAATACCATTACCTAATGTTTTTGGGGCAAATATAATCGGAATGAAATAAGTTCCAACAACCAAAACTAGCACAGTTATAACATTAATTTAAGATACTCTTTTGGAACACACAACATATTAAATTATTATTATTTACTGAATAAAAACGTGGAAAGATATAAATCATTTAGCAAGAAATTATGTTTTAGTGAATAATTAAAATGGTGATGATGATAGTATATGTGTAGACCATAAATATCTTTGTAGACTGCACGCTATACAGGAACCTCGAGAGCCAGCACGGGCCCCGGGGCAAACATCCTCGCCTGGCCCCCTTTCTCTTTTTTTTAACATTTTCAAGAATTTATTAAAAAGAAGATCCTAAATCAGGACAGCAACGAGCTCATAAACCAGACAAAATCATAGCAGCAGCCATTTTTACCTTACAGTATAAGTGTAAAAACATTAATAAAGTAACAACGATTATCTATTAAATCTATAAAGTAACATGTATATATTAATTATTATTTCAATTGTTCTTAATTTATCAAGCATCCATATGCAAAGAAAAGCCAAAACTATAATTTTTATCATTAAATGAAGATATAGTCTAAAGATGCTTTGCAGGCTTTACGGCATAACCAGGTTTCATTCGCCCTGGCTCCTGGGCAGTTGCCCCCTTTGCTAGTAGTAATGCTAACAGAAATTTATTGAATGTATTTATAGACATACTCAGTGGTGTAGTGGCAAATAAAAAAGTGGATAAACTCCCCTATTTGATGATGTAGGCCAAGTGGTGGAATGGTAGGATCTTAGGTTGCCCCTTTTATGAGAAGTAAGTAAACGCTACATTATTCCAAATTAGAAACAGGTAAACACTGTTACCTGCATATACCCTCAACTACACTACTGCTCATTACAAGTCAAAGGTGGTAATTACCTTTTATACAAATCACTGGTTAGGAATTGCTTGAATATAGCCTTACTGGAAAAAGAGTTCAAAGGAAGGCTACTAGGATAATTCTGGCGAAGTAAGGATTATCTTATGGGATAAGGTACAATCTATTAACCTATTATCTTATTTTTTCTTTGGAAAAGATGAATAAAACAAAATCATATTTAAGTATACAAGACTATCCAAATGACTAAAATGAGAGAGGCCTCTGATTTCTTTGTGGTGAAAGGACACAAGTTTAAGATTTGTAAATAGACAAGATAGTCTCCAGTGAAGAAAGATTTATTTTTCTTACACTGCTACAAGGTTATTAACTTATGGAATGAGTTTCTGTTTGTAGTAGTGGAGGTAGCACCAAATGTGAATTTAAGAGAGGGATATCAATTAATTTTGAAAAAAAAATTTTAAAAGTATTTTTCCCTCAGGAGTGTGTGAAAAGCCAGCTTTGAAAGAACAAATGGTCCCTTAATGTCTATATGTTAAGTTAAAGGCTATCTCCTGATATCCAGTTAACATCTGGATGATTAATGTCTCCACAAAGGACATGCATCTTGCCCAGTTTGAAATTAAACTCCTTTCAAAACTCATTAAATGACTTTATTCAGGTATTAAAAATTTCAATGATTTGGTCCACAACAGAAGTAAAATCAAAAGGTATAAAACAGGAACTTGAATATCAGAGATATCTGATTTAAGATATGATAATAAAGATACAACCTTATCCTTTAACAAAATTCTTATTTGGTTAGCCTTATAATTTCATGGAATGGTTTGCCTGATGATGAGGATTGAATAGTTCAGTTTAAATATTTGAATTTTCTTTCAATATCTGGTGTTTTTGTTAAATCAACATTAGATCGTAGGCCATATGACCTTCTGGCACCTAGCTTTTTCTTGTGCATCATCTAGAAATATCTATATTTTTAAGTACCATCACATATGAGACAAATATGAAAATGTGGGTGTGTATTATTATCAGGACAAGCTACATGACCTCCAAAGCAATAATCCATCTGCAACTTATAAAAAACACAGTAACTTACTGAGTAAGTACATCTCCAAATACCATATATTTTAGACGACTGTTAGTGTTAGTATTAACAAAATTACTTCACCAGTAATATCATTCTTACCATTTTTCTTCAACTCTTCTTTTCTTTTTAGTAATCTAGGCTGAAATTCTGTTAACCTACTAAGTGAAGTAGGTCCATCGTCATTAGCCTTAATTTCATTTGTTTCTGGAAGAAAATTCAAAAATCGTCTTACACCAACATTTTGTGCATTGGCATTTTCATATACAGCTTTAACTGGTGTCAACTGAAGATTTTTTGTTTCTGAAAAGTCAGCTTTCTCATCTAATTTCCAATGTTTTTTCAGTGGTATTAAATCATTGCTTATTCCATTTGCAGAGTCAATGGGTAACTTACTTAAAGCTAAACTGTTTTGTTCACCAACTTGGTGTACTGGGCTCGCACTTGGACTCCAACTCCAAGGTGGAGTCGAAGTCAAAGACAATTCCAATGGTGTCCGCGTTAATATTATAGCAGCTAAAACAACCAAGAAGCTGACTAAAGCAAATAAAACACCTATACTAGTAATGCTTTTGTAAGATTTAATGTCCTGTGAAATAATTGTCATAATCCACTGATTGCATGTTTGAATCATTTCCGATATTGTAACACTTAACCATACCCAGTCCTCTCCTGACAACAACATACTTTCACATGTCTAGGCCTAATAGTAATACTGACTATTACGCAATACAAATAGGATATATATATATATATATATATAATCGCAATAACTAAGCAGATTATATTAGTGAAAATAATAGAATTCACTGTGATGTTTTTGTTATAAATATTTATTTTCTTTTATGGATTAAAATTAGAAAATGATCTTCTTCGGTGAATCAGTTTAGGCTATTCACTACATAAACAATACTGTGACTTAAAACAACCTTATAGTGAGTAAAAACGTTTTGGTCCATAATCCATAATAGTTTTATTATGAGAATGAACATAGCTACTACGAAAGGCGTGCTGTAGAAAAACCAAATCATATATCACTATATTTTTTGTGACGACCGATTACAAGAACTAAACAAAAAATGATAGTCTTTCAGTGTGCCAGCGGTAAGTTTCCAGACTTACAAATATAAAATCCGAAGTTTGATTCGACTCGGTGGACATGGCGCAGATGGCCCATTGAGTAGCTTTAAGCTTAAAAACCTACAACAAGAATTCCTGAGCATTGTAAAATTCCACTGAAATAAAACTAGATCGAGAGAGCAGCAAAAATACCGATGTCACCAAAAACCAGAACTTCATGAAGATGAAATTATTTTGGTATCAAAATTATTAACAATGGTACACTCTCCTGTGAAGTTAGAATTGTTTGAAGAATGATAATTCGACTACATGATGGATGAATAGATGCTTTAGCCCCCTCCTCCCAAGCTGCTATGGCAAGGGCGCCGTACCGTTACGCAGGGCAAAGTGTGTTTCTCCTATGAAAAATTTTCAAAACAAAATTAAGACGCCAACAAAAGAAAGGTAAAAAAAGTAGGAAATTGTAACTTTCAAAATTAGGAAATAAACAATTTCTCTGTAGTTGCATAGGGTCCAAGATGCTAAACTCTCTCTTTTACCTATTGTTTGGGGCTCAAACCTCGTTGGTAACTCCCTTAGCCACCTTTACATAGAATTATTTATTTATCCGAGTGCTCTTGTGTGGTATTTGTAAACTATTGTGTTTTCTTGCAATTTTGGCATAGGCATATAAACAATTTTATTTCACCTAATTTGTCAAAACATTTCAAGTACATGCGTTCAGCTTGATGTATAGAGAAACCAGTTATTGTTTTTGTAAGTTACATAGTTTCCAGAATCCGCCTCTTCCGGATATTTCTGCAATTTCCTGTGAAGGGTGTCGCTGGAGAACTATCCTGGTCTGGTACGTGTTTAGAAATACCTGAAGGATATGTTCTGGCTACTTTTGCATGCACCTGAGAGAGTTGTTAAATTTCCTATTGATTCAAAAACATAGTGGATAGTTCGCTCAGTCTAGATCAGACTACTCCAGATGTTCTGTTGTTGTTTTTTAAAGTTTAATATTCTTTACATTTATCGACATTACAGATCTGTGTAAATTAATCTTTTTATAAATAAAGTTAGATTTTTCTATTCTATTTTGCATTGTGTCAAATCTTTCTTCATCAACTCATTCATGTGAAAAACTCAATTTAACTCCATAATAAATTCTTTACTAATTTCTACCTGAAGGTTACCAGTGTATCTGAAAATACCACAGTGTAAGGTAAAAAGGTGAAGTTTTAGTGCCATGACCTCAGGATTTATCTTTCTGTGGTATTCATGTATACTATATATTTTCCACCCCCTTGTTTAACATAAGGTTTTCAAAATTTTCAAAGATGTAGGTTAATATGATTGCAACACAAAACGTTGGAAATAAAAGCAGATAAGTTTCTTTTTATAGTATCCTGAGTCATTCATAGGGGTGTCACATATGCTTTCTCATGAGAAATATTTCTGTAAGATTGAACGAACTCTGTAGTAGTGGATTGTGATCCTTTTCACTGGTAGGCCAGTTAACACCCTGAGGTTATATATCATCAATTATTTTGTAATAACAATGCCCGACAGTCTCGTGAGTAGCACATATGCCTGAGAATAATAGCTTTTTTCAATGCAAAACAGTGCTTAACAGAATATATTAAACTCTTGGAGGTTCCTGATAGTTCTTAAAGCAGTTCAAACATATCATCTCTCCTGTACTTGTCTTACTTTGACCATTTTTGTTATTGTGAATAAAGATTGTTTCGTTTTGTTAACACTGTGTCCAGTTTCTTTCATTCTTCAAACTCATTCAAAATCAACGAATTCAAATTTACTCTGTGAGACGTATTTTGTGACTCTCTTGTTATTCTATGTTTCCTACCTGATGACCCTTAAGAGAAATAAGTGTGCTTGAGAATACCACATTTGTAATTTTCTGCGCTCCTATAGTACACTAACAGGTTGGCAGAGAGATGAAATTTTATACCGAGAGTAAATCACGAGCCAAGAATGAAGCAAGCACTAGAAGAAGTTTATTTCTTTATGACTGTGCACTTTCAGGTGAAACTACTTTCCACACAAATATTAGATAGAACTGATAATAACAGCATGGTCAACCAAGAATATCGATGAGTAGTCTGTATTTGAAAATTCAACTGAGTTTTCTGGTGTGTGAAATAGTGAGACTGGACAAGTTTTGAATAAAAAACAATTTTTCTTATTCATTAAAAGGAAATTCAACATACGTACTTTCACACAGAGGACCATGGTAATGGTAGGTAGTGTTTAGTTCACAGCTTTTCCTCTCTCAAGATTGATCACTGTGAAATTAAACCACGATTATCTCAAATATAATCATTACTCCGCGATCTTCTAATAGAATTCAGTTGTTAAACTCTGTTTCTTTGTCCATTTGACAGCGCCACCTCATGATCCTTGCTCTCTATCAGCGTTCTCTGGCTGTAACATACAGACACCATCCATTTAGCTAGTAAATGATTTTATAGCAAATGACCCTTTTAACGTGGATGCCTAATGTTGGTGCAACACCCCAGGCTGTCGGGCAGAATATAATAAACTTGTTGGTGCGTATCTGCTTGTTTGTTAATTTCCCGTAGAAATTATTTCCGAGAAACTTCAGTGATATAAGTCCTTTTTTTATTAAAACTAGTTTATTTTTTCTCAATACAACTTTGCATTACACAGAATTTCCACAGTCACTTTAACTTAACTACTTTTATAAACACACACTATAATTCACAGCGATTCACACACTTTACTTACGGTGCCTACTGTTCGCTTGACTCAATTTTATCTATCTTCAGTCTGTCTCCGGCTTATATACTAAAAAAGAGGGCGTCTAGCAAATACTGGGATATTCGACTTCCCTTTGGTCTTCCTGGGATTATACAACCACACCTTGTCTCCTGGTACAAAAATGACTTCAGTAGATCTCTTATCATAACATATCTTCATGGAATCAGCGGACGTTTTTTAAGTTTGAATGCACTTGAATATCATCCATCCTATCAGATAACACTTTCACGAACTCTGACACATTTTCAGGCAACTCTTCATAAGGTGGGCGTCCTGTTACCAGATCCACTGGCAACCGAAGTTCCCGACCAAACATCAGCTTTGCTGGAGTGTATCCAGTGGCTTCATG